GTTTCAGATAAACATGAAAAAGTTGGCAAAACTGTTGCGATCGAGAAAAGTGAGCGAAGAGTTAATTATCGAGAAAACCGATATGAATGAGGAAAATATATCGATCGTCAAAGAGATTACGTTAAACTGTATTAAATCGTCAAACAATTTGACAGATTTGGCTAAACATATGAGCAAAGAGTTGTCGAAACGGGTGGACGGCGTTTGGCACGTGTTTGCATTCCGGACCTATTTAGCCAATTGCTATGTCTGTCCAAAAGTGGGCCGTTTTATCAATCTGACCATTTCCGACCTAAATATTGTTATATTTCAAGTCTAAATTAATTAATGCATTATATTTATACATTCAAAAACAGCGTAACATTTAGTCAAATATTTTTATTCAATAATAAAACATATATTTTTCAAATTGAATGAAAATTTTAAGCAATAAATGAAAAATTATTTTCTATTGTGACCTCCCTTTCCCTTAATAGAAGCCCTGCCATCCTTTTTAAGTGGTTTTCCCGTATCGCTGGCCACTGTCTCGATGGACGCCAACGACTTGATGGACACCCTGTTGCCTTTGCCCTCCCGTTTGCGGTGAGTCCCACCCTTTCCCGGCCTCAACACCATAAACATACCCAACAAACCAAGCAATAGGACGATCACCACCACCACCACACTGATGATAATGATGGTGGTGGCGCCACTTTTGGACCGGTTTGTGTCGCCGTGATGTCCGCCACTATCCATGCTTCGGGAGTCGACAGATAATGGTTTCGGTGACCCTGGCGTTGTCGTTGCATCTACTTTAGCAGTCGGCCCCATATAGTAATCAAAATTTCTTACAAAAATGTTTGTCTCGTTTAGTATTTCGTTCACTGATTCATACTTTTGTTGAGAAATTGTAAGACAAATACAAATAAGTGTCAAATGAATGCCACAGTGGATGGACTCACGTCTCGATTGTCGATCTCATAGTCTGTTTGTTGTCCACTCTTATTGGTCTCAATTGAATGCAATCCTTCGGTGTTTATACTTATGGCCAAAGACACAGCGATTAATAAAATTAAATACATTTTTAGTTGTTTGTCTAAAAGTCCTAATAAATACTGTACTATGGTTTGTATTACAAATATTCTGTTGTTTAGATTTAAATCACACAACCATTTGATTTAATTTCCGTTACAAATATTTTATGATAATTTCAATCAATACATACACGCGATTAAACAATTCATATTTAGAAACATTTACTATATAGTATATACACAACTTTTTGCATTTAATAATTAAATTTTAATTGTAAATCCTGGGAATTAATAAAACAAGTTATTGAAACCAAACCTTTATTGTCTTTTATTTATGTAACCAAACAAATAAGTTTTTATCCCCCAGTCCCCCCTTTTAATACTATTCCCGCAACTAATGTCAATCTGAAACATTTTCTATTAAAATTACTTTTATTTGAAAACACTAATTGATATGAATGACAGATTCTGTAATTCAAAAACATTATCATTTTAAAACTAACTGTCGGTTAAATAATTAAATATATTTGAGTAAAATATAAGTATAATGGTTTCAAATGAGTTCAATGATATTCCCAAGATATTTGTTTGTATTCATTGGTATTTCATACAATAATCTACTCTTAATATTAATTAAACCATAAATTCATGTTTGTCTATAATGTTAAGGTTTGATCGCTAATGTAAAATGTGAACTGACCGGTCACGCCCGGGCCGGTAACTACGACATCTGTACACACACTTGTGGTTTGGTGAACGGCTCCGGTATTCAATCACGTCTTATTAATGGACAGTCGGTACAGGAGGGACAGTATCCTTTTATAGCACTGTTGGTCAGATGGATCAATATAAAAACTGGTAATGCATCCATTTGTGGTGCAGCCCTTATCAGCACTCAATGGTTACTGACTGCTAAACATTGTCTTATTGAGTATGAAATCTCTCGCTCTCTCTCTCTCTCTCTCACTCACTAAATACCTTATCTGATATCGTAGTCCCGATTCATCTCATTATTCTGTGTTTTTTGATGTCATAAATATCGATCATTTGGGGACAGAGTATAAGATTCAATACATAAATATACATCGGGAATATGACCTAGGTCTCATAAAATTGAAAACCCCAATAGAACCTGTGTTTAACGGACAGATATATAAGGTTAATAGCCTGTGTCTGCCGGCGCCCGACATAATCAACACCAACAAAGAGTACGCAATGATAGCAGGCTTTGGTAGCACTGATGTGAAGGGTAAGAAGCAGTCGTAGGTTCTCCTTCAGACACGACTGGCCATTGAATCGGATGCCGAGTGTCGGCGACACACACCAGTAAATGACAAATTCTTTGCTCAAGACATCTGTTCCATTGGCGGCACGAATAGGACTTGTAGTGTAAGCCATGTGTTTGCGTTTAACTCATTCATATGAATCCCTGTCCACTCTAACTACTCTACCATTTAGAGCCGTAATTATAGGCATAACAAGTGGCAGTTTACACAATCAGGAAGGCCAGATATGTGGCCCCGGTCTCAACTATTTCGTACGGGTTTCGCGCAGTATCAATTGGATTAAGTGTCCTGGGTGCACCACAACACGCACAGCTTTTCGAGCCCAATGAACCCAATGCAGGGGACAGGCATTCAGACACTCTTTCCTTACAAATCATTTTATTCGTACATTTAATGTCTTTTATTCTCAATATATTTATTAATATATAACGAATAGGATTATAAACATAAATATTTGTATAGTGTATAGTATACACTATACTATAGTATAGTACTATAGTCTGAATACTGTAATCTGAATCTTATACTGTAATTAGCCAAACAAAACTTTAATTAATGTTATTAAACATAATTTCGATGAAATACTAAATTATTAATACTTATCTAAAATATACATTTTATTAAATATAAAATAAATAAACCATTAATAAATAGCACACACATTGAGTGGAAACAAAATGATTTGATTTATAAAAAAATTAATATCTAGTATCCATTATCCTGTTTGATGAGATCTGCACCCTTTTCCCCGATGGCAATGGCGGCCGCGTTTGTGTTGGCGTTAATGATTTGAGGCATAATGGAGGCGTCGCACACCCGAAGGCCAGTCACGTACTTCACTCGCAATCTCTCGTCCACCACAACATCACTTCTACGGGCGCTACCCATACGACAGGTGCCCACCGGATGGTAACCAGTTTTGATGGTCTCCCGGGTCAGGCACTCGATATATGAATCGCATTCATAGAGCTTAACATTTTTACAGTAACTGCAACCGGGAATGGGCTCCGGTATGATCGACAGGTATTCAGAAAGTTTAGTTTCGGTCAGAAAATACAAAATAAATTTTGTTGTTTCAATCAAATCCTTATAGTCTTGCGGATGAGCCAAGAATTGTGGATCAATGATGGGGTACACGAATGGGTCACTCGATGCCAGACGTAATGTGCCGTAACTCCTGATGCGCGACAGATGTGGTGATGTGAGCAATAGGTGTCGATTCAAATAAGGCCGGAAGTACTCCATCCAGACATCCCTATGCGCTGGCATTTCCGCCACCGTATTGTTTAGATTACTCACGTATTCTGCAATGGAGTACATGTAGGCGTTCGGCCACTCTTTGTCTTGAATACTATTTGTGGTGTAGAAGAATATAGAGCTCGTCAGCACCGATAGGGGGCCAGTCTTCTCCACTAACTCCTCGTATAATTGCTGCACATTTAGTAGAGGTCCCGGATTTGCTAATCGTTCGTCATTGAGTGTGGTGTGGATTGAAGTGGTCGGGTGGTCCTGGAGGTTGTTACCTACAGGCAGGTCTACCAACACAGGTATTCCTAGTTGTGTTAAATGGTCTTTTGGCCCAATTCCTGACAACATTAATATTTGCGGCGAATTGAATGCACCTGAATGTAAGGTTATAATAATATTTGTTAATTGTTTGTTTGAAATGAAGTGTGTTATCAAATACCGGCGCTCAAGATAACCTCTATGTTGGCCATTACATGATACACATAACCATTTTTGGCGAATTCAACGCCAGTTGCCGTTAATTTATTGTTAATAGTATTGAATAGGATTTTCGTGACAAA